ATGCGGAGACAAATCCGGGTTGGGCCATCATTGTAAGATCCCTCAAGTTTTCTTCCTTCAACCCGAAACCGAAAACGTCGAGCAATCAACAGACATTGAAGAGCCAATGGACAACCAAGAATGGGGACAATGGACAAAGGAATACCCGAAAGTATCCCTGCAAGCCTTGACCGGTCTTGCTTCTTCTCAAACTATGAGAGTAACGGGACTGGTACAAGGGTACCATGTGTCGGTTTTGATAGACAGTGGCAGCACTCTCAATTTCATTATCCAAACATTGGTCAAACAACTGGGGATTCCGGTCCAACCATGTACAACATTCCGGGTGCACGTAGCTAATGGGAGCAACCTGGTGTGCGACAGTATGTGCACAGAATTAAAGATGAAGATACAAGGACATGAGTTTGAGGTAGATCTACACCCCCTATAAATCAGTGGAGCAGATGTAGTTCTTGGAGTCCAATGGTTAAGGCAACTAGGGCCGGTGATATGTGATTGGGCCCATCTCACCATGGATTTTCAAGTGGGCAGCTCACAAGTGCATATTCAAGGACAGCTGTCCAAGGGTCCAGGACCCATTAGTCTCACCACCCTAAGGAAACAGGCAGCAGACCCAACCCACATCATTTTAATGCAGATAGACTCCCATGGAAACGGCCCCATTCTAGCCCAAGGAAGCAGATCCGAAGAAGGCCACACACAACTACAACAACTACTTCAGAAGTTTTCAGTGATCTTCCAAGAGCATAAGGAACTACCACCGAAACTTGCCCATGATCATTGCATTCCATTGCTGCCCGGAACTGCACCCACAAATGTAAGGCCCTATCGTTACCCCTATTTTTAGAAACTATAGATTGAGAGGCAAGTGCAAGATATGCTTGATAGAAAAATTATACAACCCAACCAAAGCCCATTCTCCTCGCCAGTATTACTTGTGAAAAAGAAGGATGGGACATGGCGGTTTTGTATAGACTATAGGGCTCTAAACAACATTACTGTGAATGATTGATTTCCCATACTGATAATTGATGAACTACTAGATGAACTCGGCAAGGCCACCGTATTCTCTAAACTAGACCTAAGATCAGGATATCATCAAATTTGGGTCCATGAGGGAGACATCCACAAGATTGTCTTTCGTACACACGAAGGGCATTATGAGTTTCTGGTCATGCCGTTTGGGTTGACCAATGTGCCAGCTATGCTCTAAGCACTTATGAATGACATATTTCGACCCCATTTGCGCAAATTTATACTTGTTTTTTTTTTATATATTTGTATATAGCGCTACATGGGACGAACACCTAGTACATCTATAAATCACCTTGAAACTACTAAGGACTCATAAACTCCTTGCAAAAGAGTCAAAGTGCGCATTTGGATAGACGCAAGTACACTATTTAGGGCACGTAGTCAAAAACGGAATTGTAGCAGCAGACCCAAAAAAGATCTCAAGCACGATAAATTGGCCTTGACCTCAAAATGTTAAGGAGTTACGGGGTCTAACAGGATACTACCGGCGATTCATCAGAGGGTATGGACTGATTGCTGCCCCCTTGACAAGTTTACTTAAGAAGGATGGTTTCTACTGGACTAGGGAGGTCCAACAGGCCTTCGAGACACTCAAAACAACTGTCTCGTCCCCACCAACGCTCGCACTTCTAGACTTCTCAAAGGACTTCATCAATGAATGTGATGCGTCAAGCCAAGGAGTTGGCGCAGTCCTCATGCAAGAAGAAAGGCCACTAGCATTTTTCAACAAAGCAATGACAACACAGAAATGGACCAAGTCAGTATACGAACGTGAACTGATAGCAATTGTTCTCGCAGTTCAGAGGTGGCGACCCTACCTTCTAGGGAGGAGGTTCATCATACGAACTGACCACCAGAGCCTGAAATTTCTGTTGGAGCAGTCCGTACTATCCCTGGAATAGCAGCGATGGATAGCCAAATTACTCGGCTATGATTATGTCATTAAATACAAGGCAGGGCACACTAACAAGGTGGTGGATGCACTGTCACGCCAACCACAACTATTTCCATTACTTCTCATGGGCCCAACATGCTCCATCATGGGTCAGCTAAGGGAAGAAGCTGAAAGGAACCCACAACTGAGCAAGCTACGTTCACAGGTCCAAGAGGACCCTACTAGCCACCCAAGGTACAAAGTGGAGAATAACTTGCTGTTGTATAAACACCGAATGGTGATACCACAAGATTCAGCCCATATTCAACAGCTTCTGGAAGTGTTCCACTCATCACCAGCAGGACACTTAAAGATCCTACGCACTTACAATAGACTAGCCACCCAATTCCACTGGAAAGGCATGCGGAATTCGGTCCAAAAATTCATAGCTGAATGCGTCATTTGCCAGAAAAATAAGGCAAATACCCAGTTTCCAGCAGGACTGCTAAACCACTCTCAATTCCTACACAAGTGTGGACATATATATTTACGGGCTTCATAACGGGGCTTCCCCTTTCATATGGCAAGTCCGTCATTCTCGTAGTGGTTGATAGATTCACCAAATAATGTCATTTTCTCCCTCTTTCCCACCCCTTTACAACCTCAATGGTGGCTGAGATTTTTACTAAGGAGGTGGCACGACTGCATGGTACCCCTAACTCTATTGTCTCAGACCGCGACCCTATTTTTATGAGTTGTTTCTGGGCAAAACGTTTTTGACTACAGGGAGTGAAACTCTATTGTCTCAGACCGTGACCCTATTTTTATGAGTTGTTTCTAGGCAAAACGTTTTTGACTACAGGGAGTGAAACTCTTCAAATCTACCAGCTACCACCCTCAAACAAATGGGCAGACTGAGGTGGTCAACTGGAGTTTGGAAACCTATCTAAGGTGCTATGCAGGGGATAGGCCACGCCAATGGCTCAAGTGGCTTCATTGGGTGGAATGGTGATACAATACCACGTATCACAATGCAGCAGGAATGACTCCCTTCCGAGCTCTATATGGACGGGACCCACCTCCCCTATCCCATATGAGAAAGGGTCTACAACAGTAGCAACAGTGGAAGACCAACTCCTCCAGCGAGATAGGGTGTTACAAGATCTCAAATCCCACCTCCATCGATCCCAACAATGGATGACAGACTCCTACAACAAAAAGCATAGACCTGTCTAGCACCAGATTGGGGAGCAAGTCTTCCTTAAACTACAACCATACAAGCAAGTTTCAGTAGTAGGCCACAGGTGGAACAAACTGAGCCCAAGGTACTTCGGCCCATTTCGGATTGTGGAACGCATTGGGTCTGTGGCATACAGGCTTGACCTTCCAGCAACTTCAAAATTGCACCCTGTATTCCATGTATCTCTACTAAAGAAATGGCCAAAAACAGGAGCAATAACAACAACCACCCTCCCATCATTCTCGGAAGATGGCCAAGTTCAAACTGAGCCCACTCAAATAACAGATTTCAGGTGGATACGCAAAGGGAATCACATCAAACCAGAGGCATTGGTGGTATGGTCAGGTCTCCCAATTGAGGATGCAGCTTGGGAACCTTACTTGGACTTACAGAATAGATTTTCACATCTTGACCTTGAGGGCAAGGTCGCTTTCAAGGGAGGAGGGACTGTTGAGACACAAATAAAGGGAATACGAGTGTACAAGAAAAGGCCATGCCAGCCTTTAAGTAATGTAACTAACAGCCAACCACTAGAACAAGCTAAATAACAAACTGGACAAGTGGAGAGGCTGGTATAATAGGATTGTAACAGAAATGTCTAAATAAGGAAAGGAAGCGAGGAGGGGAATTATTGATTTTGGGAATACAATCTCTCTCTCTCTCTCTCTCTCTCTTCTTCTTCTTCTTCTTCTTCTTCTTCTTCTTCTTCTCTCTCTCTCTCTCTTTCAGGAGGCAGGCTTCCTCGAAAAAGTCCCTGAGTTAGGCAGTTCCTAACAATCTCCAAATAAAGTTTTTGATTTTAGAACCGATGCATGTGGTATGAACAGAAGAGTTGAGTTCACAGGCTAAGCAACCTAGAAATTTATATGTTCAATGCCATTGCTCATTGGTGTGTTTCAAATGGTACTAGGACCTCTCATGACAGTTGCACCGATACAATGATGGGTGCCTACAAACAAGCATATCATCCATGGTTGAGGGAAAATTTTAAACATGGGAACTTAAACGATTAGAAATGCAGAAGAATGCTCAATTGCAAGAATTAGTCTGCATGTTTAGAGTTGGATGGGATGAAGTTGAACATGGTTTAGGGTAGTCCCAAACAACAAATGTGTTTATGTGCTTCTGGGATATAAATGTATTTCCTGAAAAGCAAGTTTCAAGTAGAAGTGCAAATATGCAATACTTACCAAACTATCCTATATATCAAAAGAGTCAAAACCAATTATTGGGTGACAGAGGAAGATGTGGTTGAAGAGGAAGATCGAATTAGCAGCAAGTTTATGCATTGGATCTGAAGTGAAAATGACAGAAATACATGTTTTTTTTTTTTTTTGGCTAGGCAAGGCAGACCTAACGGAGGCGGTGGGGAGTGAAAAGGAGGGATTCGGTCCCAGATCAGTGAGAAACTACATCCCAGCTGGTTGAAGTCAATGTTCCTGATTCACATTAACAATTTACTGACACAAAAGCTATCCATGTTGTTTAAGTAGTAGGATCAAAACATATAAATGAATTAGCAGTTTAATATGACAGATATTTCAGTGATCTATGAAAATTTTATTCATAAACTGTAATAATGTCCATCAGACCACAAACTAGCATATTTGGGCAAATAATGCATTACACCTCATGATTCCATGGTGATTGCATGGTTTAATCTGTTAGAGTCATCATCATTCCATTCTGTTCAGTTGCATGGTTTATCTGTTAAAATCGGTTCAAATTTTATTCATGTGGTAAGGAAATTTTAAGATAGACTGCCCACAAGACATGTGTTTGAATAAAAAGTGTATAGCATTATTGTTTTCCATGATATAGTCAAATAAAATCTGAGGGCCCATGTACAAACCTAAAATATCAATTCCACTATAGAAAAGCATGAATTTTGCAAGCCTTAGTGTTTCACATGATAACAAAGAACTTTACAATTATTTCTATAGATGGTTCATTGAAGCAAATGAAATTTACAAGGGGCCAAAACTGAAACAAAGACTATGTATAAAAAATTTGGTGATTACTTATCACATCTTGGTTTAATACAAAGTATGACTAATTTCTGCTACTTTATATACAGAGGCAGGATTACAGCAAACCAATCTCTACATGCACGAATTCTTTCATCTTCTAGTGTTGACCCCATGAAGTAGTAATACATAGTGCTGTCCAAACAATTGATTGAATAATGTATAAAGAGAGAACCATGGAGTTAGAAAAATGGAAGCTATTAAGTTCATTGTGGTTGCCACTGATGACCCTGGTTCTTCTTTGAGATGTAGTTATAGGCACAAACAAGCCGTTTGCCAAATCGACTGAGGTCCAACATGACATTCTGCCCATCTAAATAGACCTTCTTAGTGAATTCCCATCCCTTGGAGGTTATGCTCTTGGGATCTCTTAGGACAGGATCTTCCTTGTGATACTTCCTGTACAAAGAGCTCTCTCGAGGAAGGATTTTATAACCAACATACTTGAGCCCAAGCTTCATGGCAGGTTCACCGTAGTATGTCTCTGCAGCCCAGTCAATGCCCAGTGGGATCACTTGAATGAAGACAGAGCCGGGCCTCATGAAGAGTAAATGTGTCATGGCAGCACCATGGACTCCTAGCAAGGCATCACTAGAATTGAGAGCCCGATAAATCTTTGCTAGCTCTGTAGTCCGGCTTGGCCTCAACACTTGAACATGAAAACCAATTTCCTCAGCTAATTTGATCATGGCATCCTCGTTCACTATCCTTCTTGACCCCTTTCGCAATATAATAACCAGTTTTGGCTTCTTCCCTTCTTCTTCTTGCTTCTGTTCCTCCACTTCTGATGACAAAGGTGATGGAGATAAGGACAATCTCTTTTTAAATTTCAATTGGGCTTCCCCTCCCAAACCTCGAATTAATTCTTTTATTCTAGGCCGATATGCCTGGTCTAGAAGGTTGCGAAAATCCAAAATACTCTTGTTCCCCTGCATTTGGGAAGAATCCACCGTGAGCTCATTGTGGATTCTGAGACCAACTATGGCTTCAGGAAAGCAATGGGTTCTCTGGTCTCCATTAAAATCTATTGGGGGATAATCAGAGAGCCGGGAGAGGATGTCGCCATACTTGGACATATACCACTTATGATATTCAAGCATAACAAACACAACCTTCTTTTTGAAGTGCTGAGAAGTAATATAAAGAGGGATAATTCCATCATTGAAATCATGATAAACATTCCCTGTATACCCACCTGTCGAGAAGAAGATAGCAGGAACAGAGTGCTGGACTTCGCATTCATGGCGCCCCCCAAATTTATATTTCTTCATAATAAGGTCTAGTTCGGGAATGGTATCCATGATGCTTGTCTCCCATTTCCGTGTATATGGCTTGATCTTCTCGTGCTGTAACTCCTCTTCCTCTTCCAAAGAAGCCATAGGATAACTATGAGAGCTAGTGTCGTTGTTAGAACTATAAAGGAAGATTGAAGAAGATGCAGATTGAGTCCTTATATCCCCTTTCATGAAACAGATGTCAAAACGGAAGGCACTTCTATCACAGAAAATGCTCCCTGCATGTATAGTTTGTTCCCAGAAGAAAGTAAATATTAGAAAAGATAGAAACAGCATTCTTTCAATCTGTTTCTGTTAGTTCGGTATAATGAAGAAAGGAAGAGAGAGAGAGAGAGAAGACTGAAATACCACTAGGGATTGCAGAACAAGGGGGACCATCTGCTTCTTTATGAGAAGGCGGCCCATTATGTTCTTCAGAGGGATCTGTTAGAAACAAGAAATAACGAATTTAGAGAGAAACCCAATAAAGAAAAACTGAAAAAGAAACCAGAAAAGAGAAAAGAAAATGCTTACACAGGAGGGAAATGGTGGAGGAAGAGCTGAAAATCAGAAGAAGCAAGAGTAAGCTGCAAGAAACAAGGGAGAAGAGGAAAAGCGGAGGCAGAAACTTGGGCCTTGTTCGCTTGAAATAAGTAGAGATCCCACACTCCAAAACGAGGGTCTGAGCCTCCTCCTCATCTCCACACTTTTTCATCTGATGGTAACGCTGATAATGCACCATCTCTCTCCTCCCTTGTTGCTTAGCTTCTTGAGCTGACGTGAACCATGAAAGAAGTGGGCTTATATACATCAGGGAGTTGTCACCTTATGGGTTGTTTCTGGGTTTTTTTTATTCTTGAATTTTGATTCTTCTTCGACCTCTCTGCACCCACAGAGAAGAAGAAGAGGAAGAAGAAGTCAAAGGAGATTCGTACGTATGTATGTGACCATGAAGGTTAATTTGGGGGAATATGGAACGTCGGAAATAGTCAATCAAACGCGTGAACCAGCGGAGATTCGAGGAGTTAAAGACATGGACAGCCCAACTTCAGAAAGTTTATTTATTCCATTTTTGAGTTTAAGCCTCAATTTAATACGATTTTAATACATCCTTATTCAATTTCAAAGCGTCCACGAGACCACGATGCTTGTTTGAGGCGAGGCGGAGCCAAACTTCCATTAAATTTAGCGCCTCAATTTGCAAGAGATCACACTTCTCTAAGTGTAAGGATGCATACATCTAAACCCAATCTGGTCCTTAGACCCCACATTGTTAACTAAGTAGGGCTATCAATCGATCGGATATTGGTCTAACCCAATCTGGTCCAATATAAATCCGTTATAGATGGACCAAGTCCAATCCAATCCAATAAATATTTTGGATTGGATTAGTCCAATTAATGTGATATTGGACCATGCATCCAACTTGATCAAAATGGTTTTAATTCAAATTGTGTTCAACTCAAACCTAATCCATTGACACCCTTATTCTTATTTTCTGTCAACGAACTGGATATCGATTCAATCCGATCCAGTCCAATATAAATCCATTCCAGATGGGCCAGGTCCAATCCAATCCAATAAATATTTCGGGCCATAAGCCTGTACTGGTCCAGTTCAACCCAAACCCAATTCATTAACACCCCTATTGGCAAGAGTCTCATGCACTGGGCTGCCCTTTTTTTATTCTGTTTAAGAGGGTTGGTACTCTCGTTTATTTTCTGTTTAAAATTCTCTTCTTGGATTGTCTTACTGGATAACCATTAAAAACATTCTAATATTTTGCTGAGGTGGCAATTGTTTTTGTTTGCAATGCAAATTCATTTGCACTGGTGTGTAAAAAAGAATGGGTATGCATATGAATGAAATGCAAATTCCATTTTATTTTTTTTTAATTTTAGTTTGTAATTAAAAACCCACAATAAAAGTGAATCAAAATTTACTCTTCTACTGGAAATTAATTTTTACTGAAAGCAAACAAAGCCTTAACAACTTAATAGACACAAATTCGAATAATGATTTACCACAACAAATGAAAAGAAAAAGAAGAAGGAAGATTTGCAAGATATAGCAAGCATCCTTAAGTCTTAACTAAACCAAAATACAATTCTAATTTTAAATTTTAAAATGCTAATATATATATATATAGAGAGAGAGAGAGGAGAATATCCTTTATATAAACAAACAAGAAACCCCCCCCCCCCCATATCTTGAATTCAAACAAATAGGAATTAAAAGAAAAAAAATGGAATCTCTACCTTCCTCTTCCTCTTACATGGCTTTATCCAATGAAACACGTTTTTATGTTTGACCTTCATTTTTCTTATTATATGCATGATGAGCTAATAGCATTAAAAGGGGGACCATTAATTTGAATTTAGTTTACTATTAGTTCATTATATTAATTATATTCTTATAGGAAAGTAATATCCATGTAAATCCTCTTTTAATATATTCTATTTAATACATTTTTCCTTTATATTTGTCTTACTTATTAGCTCATCTTCAAGTCATCTTGTAAAATATAAGAATAATGCTTTAATTACTCATGAATTACTACAAGACGACCAAGTCTTTTTTTTTTTTTTTGAATATTCTATTTGAGGCTTAGGGGGAAGATCTGCCCTACAAATCTGAAGCATAATTAAATGTGCACTAGATCCGCTTGATTTGCATTCTTTACATATGTACGTGTATATATTTGACTTCGAGGTTGTTCTCGTCTAGGATCCTTACGCAATCAAAATCATTAGTTTGTTTTGCTTCAATCATCAATTCATCCAACCAAGCTAAAACCTATCACCCTTTTTGTTCAAAGTTCAAAACCATACAAGGCTTGCATTTCCAACTTGATTCCTAAACTGTTTGCTACTTAAAACTTCCTCATTCAGTTTTGGGGTTTTAATTTGATCAAATAATAAGACCTGCCCTAAGCTTTTATCTCTCATCTAAGAGAGAAATATGTATTTTACCAAAAACCACTTCATAATATCACCTTTGCTTCTAAAATATGTACTTTGAAAGTGATCAAAGCAACCTCATTTATAAACCCTAGATACAATTTTACCAACCCAAATTTGTAATATATTTTCTATTATTCATTTCCACAAGATTATGGCAGAAAACAAGTCCCTCTAGGGAGGTATTTTTACCCATAAAATATAAAATAATGTACCATAAAAGGGTACAAATTAATTTTTAAGCACTAAAATTGATGGCAGGTTGAGGGGCGGAATAAATAACTCAATCCCAAACCACAAGGGTGAGTAAGTTAATAGATAAATCCAAGGAGAGGTCTTAATACTTGATCAAAACACTAAGGTTGTGTTTGGAAACGATGCAAATAAGTGTGAATGTAAAAATGTAGTGTAAAATGGTCAATATAAATTGTAAAGTTTGGTTAGTTTTGCACTGACAAATTTACCTTCTTAACAAACATATTTTTAGCTGTAATGGATGCAAACATGAATTCCAATAAAGCATATGTTTTTTTTTTTTTTTTTTTTATATCAAAAGCCCACTTGAATGCAAATTTACTTCTTTTTTATTGATGTACTTTTACATCTTATTATCAATGTAAATATGCATTGATCTATCAATGCATAAATATAATGTTGCCAAACATAGGCAAAAGTGAACCAAAGTACAAATTTACCCTGAATTGGAATTTACACTCCATTTGCATCGTTTCCAAACGCAGCCTAAAGAAGATATACCGGGTTTTTTAGTGATTATTTTACCTCTAAAAAATTTATTGTTTATCAATAATAGCACTGGATTGGCAATTTTTAAGTTTTGAAAATCCTTTCCACATTGTGTTATTGGCACCATGCATGGTTATCTGATACCACAAAGATAAATGCATCCTAGAAAGTAGAAAACCTTGTTATACCTAGGACTTTGGCATTTCTTACAAACTTATAAAATAAGCATATATATTCATTCTTAATGAAAAAGATAAAAAGATAGCCTTTGCTTGCTATGGTAAAAATCGCAACTTGGTTGCTTTATCTTTTTTGAAAAATGTGTACTTGTATCTAATTGATCATGTGTGTACTCTTCCGAATCAGAATAGAATGGTCCATTTCCGTATCTTGTTTGATTTAAACGAGAAGAGAATTAGAATAAGCCGGAATGAGATTTCACTCCCAAGAGAAGAGAGAGAATGATCATTCCATCAAATGGGGAAATGTCATTCCACTAAGAATAATAATGGAATTCTGTCTAACTAAATGGTTGAAATTGGAACGGGTCATTCTTATTTCGGTTCTAGACTCTTATTCTCGCAAACCAAATAGGCCCTTAATGGGCCCTCACATTCTAAGCAGTTGCAACTATATCAATCCTGTAAAACCATTATCTTTAATTAAGGGGGTGTGTCCAAATCACTTTTTTTTTCTCTCTCTAACAATCACTATCCAAAAATTTGAGTTTGAACTAGTTGTTAAGAGGCAAATAAGAAGGACATGTCATGAAGTCTTCAAAATTTATATAAAAAGGGTTCTTAGTTCAAAGTCCAAAAGCAAATAAGAGCTTGAGTTTAAAGCGATTAAAAGCCATTGATAGCGGCGTCAGCAACCAGCCAACCAGCAATCAGCAATCAGCAATTCAGCATCGTGAGAAAAGAAAAAGATTTCTCATTATATTGATCGTTAGTCGTTACTTTATGTCTTCCCCAAGCAACCACAGTTGCTGGGTTTTTCAAAATTTCGACTTTCCGTCCAGTAATTCCAAACAGGTCATTGGGGAGTTAAGGACTTTAAGTGGAAGTGTGGGACCCACTAGATCCTAGTTTCTGACGTTAAATGGTTGGAATGGGTCTTTATCAGAGACCCTTCAGGATTTAGAGCCCAAAAGGCCCATGGTCATATCCCTTACTCGTAATTTTCTTTTAATATTTTTTTTCGACTAAAAAACGCCTTCGGATCGATGCACATGTGGGTCACGTATCTGGTCGGAAACATCTACATAATTGGAATATTTATAGGAAAACAATCGGTCAGCATCCATAATCTGAGCAGAATTAATGTATTTGGAACCCACTTTCTAATTGAGCCCATGAGCAGCAGATCATGACAAGAACAAGATCTCCCCGTGGGCTCAAGGCCCTGACACCAATTCAATTCACATCAACCATACATTAATGATAGTAGTCATCAATAGGGGTGTCAATGAATCGGTTTTGGGTTGGATTTCGTCCAAATTAAAATCAATTTACACGGATTGGATGGACCAACAAGATATATTGAATTTGGGTAGACTAGTATGACCTATTAGATTGGACTTGGTCCATATATAATGAATTTGTATTGGACTGAGTCAATATTTAATTCATTAATAGAAGATAAAAATATAGGTGTCAATGGATCAGGTTTGAGTTAAAATCAGTCTAAATTAATAGGAATTTGAACAGATTGGATTGTCTTTGAACAGGTCCAAAATGATCCATAATATTCATTGGACTGGATTGAACCAGGTTCATTTGTAATGGCTTCACATTGGACTGGATTGGATTGGACCAAATCCAGTCCAATTGACACTCCTAAGCATCAAAAGATCAAGGGGGACCGGTCCAAATCTATCTGTTTTTTAATTAGAACCAAGTTGAGCCCATTGAATTAGAGTTATAATAAGCAGATCTTGCCGACAACTTGGGTTGTAGAAATCTGTGAAACAGTAAATCGAGCTGGTCCAATCCAATTGTTTAGCCATCCGGTCCACAAACAGCCTGACCCACCAAGGGGTCCAATGTCCGGTCTAGTACTGGTTTGTTACAAAATGAGCTCCCTTGAATAATTGAATGCAGATTTATAATAAGCAGTTCAACTTAGGAATGGCAGTGGGGCAGCGCAGGATGGGGAGTAGGGAGTGCTCTCTCCATGCCCGTTCATCCCTGTCAATAAGGAAGAACCCGTGAGAGAAAATCATCTCCACCCCCACCCCATTTGGCGTGGGCCTCATAAAGATCGGGGCAATGGTTAAAATTGCCATTCCTATTTCAATTAT